CACTCAGTCGGACGCTTGAAGATGGAGCGTGCGAGGCCGGACAGGGAGTGACCGCCGAAGAGGTACTCGTTGGAGTGGCGGCCGCAGTGGGTGTAGACGTTGACGTTGCCGCTGCGCCGGGGGACGGAGGGCGAGCGGGTGCCGGGCGCAGCAGGGGCAGTCGGGGCCGAGGCCGTTGTGGAGTCCGAGGCGAGGCTGGAGTACGATGACGAGCGGAACTTGGGGCGGGTTAGCAACGGCTTTCTGAGGACGATCGGAGGTTTGGTTGTAGCTTACCTTCTCGACGACGAGGGGGCCAGTGCTGGACTTGCGCGAGAAACCCATTATCAAGGTTGGTTCGCGTCGAAGGTGGTGGGGGTTGATTGATTGGGTTAGAGGACGATACAACGAATGCACCGAACAGAGGACGGCAACTTGAGACACCTTTCGAGGCGAAAAGTTGGGATGAGAGAAGTCGTCAGGTACTATTTGAGACTTCTGTTTGTGTGTCTATCACTATCGCAAGGTATGGCCAAGGCGGTGCGTATGCGGTTGTGATTGCAAGTTGTCCTTTACTCTGAGGATCTTGGCGTAGCTGTGATTGGGAGCTGGTTCGCGATGTCAGTGAGGCTGTTCCGATGATAAACTCGATACTCCTCAGCCTCAGAGAGGGGGGCCGCGGTTCCTTATATGTTTTTCCCCCCTCGATTTCAATCATCTTGTCTAGCACACACTCGCCGGAGAGCATTCGTCACGCTCCTTCGTCGTGGCCGCGTTTCCGTGCTGGGCAGGCCTCGAATTGGTGAGACAAGACAGCGCCGCGACCCGTGGCCCCCACTTGGCCGGCACGTCGGACTGGGTCCAGTCGTAGGGCGAGCATGGTTGCATGGGTCCATGTGGCCGTTGGCGGGGGGCCCTACGGTGACGAAAACGGGCAATTGGAGTGCGCACGAGGCCTGTTGAGGTGCATTCATGGTGCCATTGGCGAATGAGGGCCAATCGTCCTGCTGTCGGTGCTGCGAAGGATCAATTGCTTGGTCCGCCATCGTGACAAGCGATTGGGTCGTTATCGGGGAGTGGGATGGGTGGGTGGCCTCGTAAGGCAGCAGCAATTCTAGCCGTCTGTTCACGTGTCGTCTTTTTGCTGTGCTGTGAAAGGCCATCTGATTTGATGCTTGAATGCCAGGTGCGTGAAGTTGTTGGCTCGCTCGCGGGTTGTTTTGCTCATTCGGTTGCCGTCGCGCTCTCTGCCTCTGAGGGACCATGATCAACCATTGTCATATTGGCAGCTTCCACGCCCGAAGCGCCATGTCGGCCTTCCTCACAGGTAGTGGCATGGAGAACAAATTGACGGAAACCTTCTCGCAACGGCATTTCGGCAAGACGTCGTCGTCAGCTTGTGACTGTTGTACATAGTAAGGTACGCGTTGGTAGATGGAGCCCCAAGGTGCTTGGCCTGCGTCTTCTCGGACGACGCCGAAAGGTTTAGCGTGGTTTGGGCAGGTCATGTGATGCTCCTGTTGGAACCTTCCACGTCTGTGCGTGACTGCCAAGCCGGCTGCCTGGAAGGCCTCTTGGGCCTCAAATTCTGGTGAGAGAAATGAGACCGAGACAAGAAGGCATCAGCCACATGCTGCTGTACCACACCAGCCCCACACCAACGGCTCGAGCCACAGCGGTCTCTGCCCCTTTAGGAGGAGGTGCCTCGAGAGAGAGATGGTTACCCCAGATTTCCGTAGGGCTGGATCTCGGAGCCGTTGACGCTTGTCGACGAGCCGCAAGCCTTGGGGGGGCCCGAGATGATGGGACATGGTTTACATGTTGTCATGTGTGATCATGGGCAACTTTTTGGTTTCGCATGCGCTGGGCCTCGAGAGTGTCAATCCGGCGCGGAAATGCCAAAAAACGCGTCGCAAAGGCGTTGGCTGTCGATTTTGGGTCGAAAAGACGTGGTTTGGCCTCAAAGTCGTCTCGTCCAGCTCCGGTCGCATCTCTCACGTCGTCTTGTTCCAAGCACGAGATTTCAGAGCTCAAACGCGGCGTTTTGAGCGTGGTGCACTCGAAAATTGGAGAAGGCGTGGGTTTGGGCTGCTGCAATTGGACAACAAGCTCGGACCACCACACGAAAATCACGTATCCAGGAGCTCCTGCCTGCACGTGAGACCCACGTCTGCCCACTGCCGTCTGCCACTGTCTCCTGCCTACTGTCTACTGCCTCCTGCCCGCTGAACCTGACCTGACTCTCGAACTGGTCCTGCCGCCCCGGCTCTCCTTGCCTCCTGCCCTCCGTCTGCTTCTACCTACGCATCTCTCTCTGGACGAGACGAGTGTGACAGTGAACGCATTCATTCCCCTGATCCGAAACGGGCCCTTGCATCTCCATCCATCTTTTTCATCACCATCATCATCGATCATCGACTGAGGGGACACCATTGCGTGTCGCGACGAACGCCTGCATCCATCCATCCGCCTCTTCTCGTCCATCGCCTCCGAGCTTGTAGAGCTACCTCAAACACCACAATGACCAGCATCCTCCTCCACCCTTGACCCACGCATCCCTCCCCCCAATATTTTCTTGTCGATACCCATTGTCGAAACATTCGGTACGCTCAACCCTCAGTGTCTACCCATCCCGGAGCTGCAGCCAGTGCGCCGCAGAGTAGCCGCCACGCGACTCTCGGCCTCTGCTGCATCGTGTCTGCTGGGCATCGTGTCTGCCGGACATCGTGTTTGTTGGGGTCTCGCGACACGATACGGTGCTGACCCAAACCTTTTCAGTTCCCCGAGCTCCCCTCCCTCCCTCTGGCAGCACAACCCCCCTCCATCACGCAACACGAGTCAAGCTGTCGCGCGCCGTCGTGCGCATCAAGCTCGGACGCTCCCTGTTCGACCATCAGAACATTCCAATCATTCAACGAGACAACTAAAAAGCCTACTCGCCGCACTCTTGCTACCGTGCTGCGTCGACCAATAGTACCTCTGCAGGTTGACGATATACAACAAAGGGAGGCTACATTGCGGTGCTGCTGTTCTTTCTTGCGTTGCCTATCAAGACACCGACTCCTCACAACTATCGCGCGTTCCTCCTCTCTCACCAAGATCTCGCTCAGTCGTCGTTGCTCGCTGCAACCCCATCCACAACATGCCCAGCAAGCGGAGACGTGACACGGAGCAGATCTTCGATCCCAACGAGTCGGATCCCGATGATGAAAACTTTGAGCCCGGCGACGACCGACCCTCGCGACCCAAGAAGCGATCGCGCTCCAACAAGAGCGCCAAGAGCGGGAGGAAGCGACGAGGCACGTACGGAGGCTCTGATATCGATGACGATGAAGACGTCTCCGACAGCAACGAAGACGTATCCTTCGATGACGGAGGCGATCACGAGGACGAAGAGGAAGAGGATGCGCCCGTCAATGCTGCAGGCCGGAGGACCCGAAAGGCCGCCGCCAAGCCTGTCAAGTACGAGGAGAGCGACGAAGAAGAGGAGGACAACTTCGACGACTCGGATGACGATGACGACTCGGATGACGCCCCGACGAACAAGAAGAATCGTAAAGCGGGCACATCTCGACAGCGCGGGGCACCCAACCGCCTAGTCAGCGAAGAGCTCGAAGTTCCCGTCGAACCTCCCAGGCAGACATCGCCCCAGAAGATCGTCAAATTAAAGATCAAGACGGCTGGTGCCCTCAAAGCCTTCGAAGCGCCGCGCAGGAGAACCCGGTCGCAAACCGAAGAAGCCGAAGACCTCGTCGAGCTCAGTAATTCTGGCAACCACGAGCGCCCAGTGTCTCGGTCCTCGAAGAGCAAAAGTCCAGACACATTCAACCGCATCCGCTCGTCTCGCGCGGCCAAGGGTATCAAGAAGCCACCCGAGACCATTGATGAGGCGACACAAGAGAGCAGTGTCCTCCCCCACGACGAAGACGAAGACGAGCTTGCGGGCAGTCACGAAGATGTTGCTGTCGATGCGCAGCGGGATGCTGAGATGCAGGATGCCGACAAAGACGTTGCGGCAGATGCGTCCGTCAAGGGCGATGTGGCTGCCGATGAAGACGACGACGACGACGATGACGACGATATTCCCATCACCAACAGACGCGCCACACGTGCAGCGAGGAGCGGTGCATCCGCTGCCGCATCTATCGAGGAGCCCGAAGCCGAGGGGGGCGAAGGTGAGAAGAAGGCCCGGCCTCGTCTGACGCGTGGCTCTTCGCGCAAATCAAAATCAGCCCAAGAGCCTAGCAGCGACTTTGAACCGGGCGAGGAGTCGGGTGAAGATGCCGGCATGTCGGATTCGTCTGACAAAAAGGCTCATCGGGCTGCTACTGATGTCGATAGTCCGACACCACGGGGCCGGGGTAAGCGCCGCTCCGCTCGCAGCTCCCGTCGCGGCCAAGACTCTGACGACGAAGAAGAGGTGGAGCTGGACCGCGATGAGATGGCGGACGAGCTTGTAGATCTTGTGCCCGAGAAGCGTCCGCGCCGCCGGCGCAGGTCGCCTGAGATCATCTACCAGGAAACCTCCAAGAGACGTCGTGCCGCTGCCAGGCCGATGAACTATTTCATGCCGCCGGTCACTGCGCTGGCTGTCGAAGAAGACGAGGCCGACGAGCCGGCGCGCACGCCTGCCCGTAACCGCCGCGGTGGTCGTGGTGGTGCCAGTCAGAACTGGGATCGTCTTGTCAACGCTACCTACGGCCCCTTCGGAGGCGGCGGTGGCGGTTCGCTACTTGGCGGCCCATGGGGCACTGGCGCCCAGGGAAATGTTGACTCGGACAGCAGCGACGACGAGATGGGCCACCGCTCCGGTGCTGCTGGCAACCCTGGCATGACACCGACTTCGGCGGCAGCTCCCGCCGGCCTGCTCGGCGGGCTCGGCGCTGCTGGTGATGCGGCTGGCATGGGAGTTGCTCCTAACGTTGGCAAGATCAAGAACACCAAGGCACTTGCAGATGCGGACCCTCTTGGAGTTGACCTGTCTGTGGACTTCAACCAGGTCGGCGGTCTGCAAGGCCACATCGACCAGCTCAAGGAGATGGTGCAGCTTCCCCTACTGTACCCTGAGTTGTTCCAGAAATTCCATGTCACACCACCACGAGGTGTCCTGTTCCACGGCCCTCCTGGTACTGGTAAGACTCTCTTGGCCCGAGCGCTCGCCAATTCAGTCAGTGTCGGCGGCAAGAAGATTACCTTTTACATGAGAAAGGGAGCCGATGCCCTCAGCAAGTGGGTTGGCGAAGCCGAAAAGCAGCTTCGTCTGCTCTTCGAGGAGGCGAGAAGAACGCAGCCGAGTATCATCTTCTTTGACGAGATTGATGGCTTGGCACCCGTTCGGTCCAGTAAGCAAGAGCAGATCCACGCGTCCATCGTCTCGACGCTGCTCGCGCTCATGGATGGCATGGACGGCAGAGGTCAAGTCATTGTGATTGGCGCCACCAACCGACCCGACAATATTGACCCCGCGCTGCGTCGGCCAGGTCGCTTCGACCGCGAATTCTACTTCCCTCTTCCCGATGTCGAAGGCAGGCGCTCCATCCTCAACATTCACACGAAGGATTGGGGTCTCTCGGAAGAGTTCATGCAATCTCTGGCTGAGAATACGAAGGGCTATGGAGGTGCTGATCTTCGCGCTCTCTGCACCGAAGCTGCGCTCAACTCCATCCAGCGAACCTATCCTCAGGTGTACTCCTCCAAGGAAAAGCTCATTGTGGATCCCGAGAAGATTCAGTGCCACGCCGCCGACTTCATGATGTCCATCAAACGCATGATTCCGTCGTCAGAGAGGTCTGCAGGCAGTGGAGCGGCCCCGCTTCCAAAGTCGATCGACCCTCTGCTGCGCGACCAGTTCAGCAGCATCAAAAAATCCCTGGATGAGTTGCTGCCGCGTAAGAAGAAGATAACGGCGCTGGACGAGGCCATGTACGAACAATTCGATGATGACGACCATGGTTTCGGCCGTGAGGCCTTGTCCCAGGAGTTTGAACGCTCGCGCATCTTCCGACCTCGCTTCCTCATTTCCGGTGTCTCTGGCATGGGACAGAGCTACCTATCCTCTGCCTTGCTTCACTACTTTGAAGGAGTTCATGTACAAAACTTTGGTCTGCCAAACTTGCTTGCCGACGGACGTGTAAGTGGGAACCTTTTCGTCCACGACGGCTACGTGCTAACCTTGAGCAGCCCATGGAGCAAGTCATTGTCGGACTGTTTACTGAAGTCAAGAGACACAAGCCTAGTGTCATCTATATCCCGAACATCGATGTCTGGTTCATGGGCATTTCGGATGTCGCCCTTGTCACATTTAAAGCGATGTTGAAGTCGATACCTCCGACAGACCCGGTCCTTGTGCTTGCAACCGCAGAACACGAGGAGGGCGAACCCGTTCCACCCGAGCTCCTGAGGGACATCTTTGGCTTTTCGAGGAAGAACAGGTTGGAGATTGCTCGGCCAAAGCAGGTGTGTTTCTTTCCATCTACCCGCCCGTGTAACTATCGCTCACTCTGCACAGGAAAATCGCCGCGAATACTTCAGCACCATTATTGAGCACATTCGCAAGAGCCCAACCGATTTCCCTGATCCGACCAACCGCAAGAAGCGTGTGCTCGAGGAACTCCCCGTTGCTCCACCGCCGCCTCCCAAGGTTCTTTCGCGAGAAGAAATCAAGGCCCAGCAAAAGAAAGACCATCAGATGCTCAACATTCTCAAGGTCTTGCTGCAGCCCATCATGGACCAGATCAACCGAAAGTACAAGAAGTTCAGACAACCAGTCATACCATCACACCTCCTTGAACACCTCTTCCTCGAGACTGATCCTGACTACATCCGGCCCGATCTCGCCGAGGGCGAGGTGCGTCCGTATGAGATTGTCAAGGACAAGGACGGCACCGACATTCTGAGAGAAACGGCTACTGGCAAGACATTTTATAACCTGGAGACGACCACCATCGAGGAGCGCCTCTCCAATGGGTTCTACTGCCGGCCGCAAGACTTTTACCGGGACATCAAGACGCTTGCCAAGGATTCGAGAGCCATCGGCGACAAGGAGCGAACGCTCAAGGCGAACGAAATCGTTACCAACGTTGATGTTGATGTCGCCGGCGTCATCCAACAAACGGCTCACATTGACTGGGATGCTCTCAAACACAGACAGATTGAACGCGCCAAACTTGCCGCCGACAAGGAGCGAAAGCGACGAGCAATGCAATCCATCGTGGATAGGGTGCAGTCCGATGCTGCTGCCGCCGGCAATGACAGTGATTCGCAGGGTCCGGTCGTTCTGGGCGAACCTATTCCCGGCTCTCGACACACGACGACACGTTTCCAGCCCATGAGTCCGCTCCGGACCACGGACGCGACAGGCTCTGACTTGCATTCGCACAGCAATGGCAACACCAAGCCATCTCGCCTTAGCGATGTCCAGATGGGCGGTGTTGATGACGATACCCAGCCGGTCTATGAGCCCCATGTCATGAAGCCGCCTGCTCCGGAGTGGCTTCGCACGGATCATACCACCACAACCTCGTCTGCAAGGGCAACGGCTGGCAACACACAGCTATCCCAGCGATCTGTCGTCACAACTGTGCCGCCTGGCGTTTCCCCTTCTGCCTTGCTGAACGATGCGTCTACCACAAAGACGTCTGACCCTTCGGATCGATCTTCCAGCAAGTGGAGCACGCAACACACCAACGGTTACCACGCGGACCAGAACGCACGCATGGATGACTCGCAGCTTCCCGACACGCAGATTCCTCCCGGGGGTGGCGGCAGTCAGCTCGGCGACGATCAATGGCAGCATTCGCAGCTGGATGCCCTCCACCGTCCCAGCGACGGGCCGGCGACGCAGCCCTCGCAGGTGAACTCTACGCCTTCAGCGGCGCAAAAGTCGCAGGCCATCAGCTTGGGCAACATACTGAATGACTCGCCAACGAACGACCATATTCGCAACTCAGGCTCGTCGTCCTCGCAGCAGCAGGTCGTGATTCACGAAAGCCGCGTCGAGGCGCTGCATGACGAACTCACAAGCCGGACGTCCGGTTGCACAATTGAGCAGCTCGAACAGATCAACCGCGAACTCATGGACGAGGTGTGGAAGACGAGAGGCGACTGGAACCGCATGACCGTGCTGGGATGTGTCACACGAGTGTTCAACGACACGATAAAGGACATTGAGGACATCCAGGGCTTGCTGCAGCAAAGCCAGGAGTAGGCCGAGAGACCAAGTGTAGACGTAGGGAGGAGTATACTTGCGCTATGGAGGACCAAGTTGTCGAGCAAGTGGGTGAATGGCCCGCCCGGCTCATCAGGGGCGAAGAGCAGGACAGGCCGCTCACTGTGCGGTGAGGGTCGAGCGAGTTTGGACGGCAAGGTGAGCAATGCAGTACTTGATTTGTGATATCACTTTGGAATAAGGAACCTGCCTTTTGAGGTAGCAATAGATCTGTTCGTTCTTTCGAGTCTGTCCGCGTGCTCCGCGACATCCCAGATCCGGGCCTGTTGCTAGGCCTTTACGCAAGGATGTTTCGCTAGTGGTTCATTCTACAGAGTTAGCAGACCTTGCTCTGGCTAGTACTCAGACCTCACATGCATCACGAGCATGTTGAGGAGGAAACCCTTGTATGGCCCGAAGGAAAGATGATCAACTACCTCCCTCCCAGCCAAGCTCGCCTCCAATCCCATACGCGGCGCACAATGTCCCATTCCACCCTTCAGCGCGCCCTCTCACCAGTAGCCGCTGCAAAATTATACGAAACCAGGAAACCGGACGTTTGATACTGTCACAAATAAGACACGTCAAGAAGATCCCGACGAGTCGATACAATCTAGGCCCCCCCTTTTCCGCAACCCTTCCTCGTCATCGTCCTCCTCGTCACAGAGCGGTGGCAATAAGCTTGCTTCCCCGTGGCCGTCGCATTCCCGCCTCGCTTGACGGGGCCTTGTCGCGGCGCCAAGATGGCGCGGAAGTCGCCTTGGTTTACCTGCGTCCTCGTTTCGGGGGCGGCGGGCTTCTCGAGCGGGAGATGGACTCGCTGTGCAGTCTGCGCTTCGGGGCGGCGCCGCCGGAGACACCGGGGGATCGCGACCTGCCGCGAGCGGAGCCTCCGCCGCCGCCGCCTCGACGGGGCGCAGGCGACGGGGACCGCGAGACGTACGAACCCTGCCGACCGCTGCGGGAACCCTTGGCCGGCGGGGGCGAGGGGTGATCGACTATCCGCCGCGCGTCGGGGCGGCCCAGGCGAGGGCGAGCGGCTGTCTGCTGCGGGACGCGGGCGGCGGGGCGAGGGCGAACGGCTCCTGCTGGGCGAGCGGGAGTCATAGGACGAACCGCGGCTGCGGCTGCGGCTGCGGCTGTCGTAGCGGGGTTTCTTCCGTGGTGCGCTGCCGCCCGCGGAGCTTTCCCTTCGGCGGCCTGGTGGTGGGGGTGGGACGCGGGCGGGCGGGGGACTGCGGGCCCGACCGACTAGACCGGCTGCCCGGCGGGAATAGGGGCTGAGCGAACGAGAGGGCTCGCGACGAGGTGGCTCACGACGAGCGGGTTCGCGAGCCGGGGGGCTGCGGGGGCGAGCGGCGAGACCAGCTGCCCTGCGCGAATAGGGGCTGAGTGAGCGAGCGGGCTCGCGCGCTGCGGCCCGCTTGGGGGCGGGAGAGCGGGATCTGCTGACAGAGGAGCTGTTGCGTCTGCGGCGCGCAGGTGGCGGGGACCGCGTGAGGCTACGGTCGCGAGGCGCGGGGGATGGGGAGCGGGAGTAGCTGGATTGGCGGCGTCCGCGCTTGGGCGAAGGACTGCGGGAGTACGAGTCGTTGCGACGTGCGCGGCGGCCGGGAGGAGAAGGAGAGCGCGTATAAGAGCGCGAACGGGAAGAGCTGTTGCCGCGGCTGTGCGATCGCTTCCTGCCGCTTCGAGATTCAGGCGATCGGGATCGCGAGTACGAGCGGCCGCGGTCGATGGCGCGGCGAGGAGGTGTGCGTGACCTCGACCGAGAGTACGAAGAGCCAGTGTAGGATGAGTAGCTCGAGACAGAGTCCGAGTCCGAGTCATCGGCCACCGGGGCTGGGAGTGCTGGCTTGGGCATGTTTTGGAGATACTCTCGCATGTCTTCCGTGAGCGCACCCATGCCGATACTGGTGAAGTAGTTGATGGAGAACCTGATGTTGCGGGCATTGTCGCGCGGGAAGATGCCTGACAGACTGGGCTGCAGCATCTCATCCTTTGTGCGCGCCTGCAACTTCGGCATGCCGAGCTCCTCAGCAAGGTGTTGGAACAGGATCTTGATGAAGATACGGCTAGAACTTGTCGTCTCTTCTTCGTTCAGATGAATCGCAGAAAGTACGTGCCATCCGATCGCATCGCTTGCCAGCAGGCTTGAGAAGAACATGGCAATGTTGCGCAGACGGTTCGTCTCATAGCGATGAATCTTGTTGTAGTAGTCGATGAAGGAGTCTTCGAAAAGACCCGTCCACAATCGGTTGAGCTTTGCAAAACGTTCGCCAATGAGCCCGTGGAACTTGGTAAAGTTCTTCTCCTGCGAACAGATTTCGACAATCATGGATGGCAGTTCCGGTTCTTGGCCAGCCGGCAAATTGATCCGAAGCAGCTTGTGCACCGCTTCTTCGGGGTCGATGGACGACATGACCGTGAGGTAGATTGTTCGTCGCAGGTTGACCAGGTCGGTATTGGACTGGTCCTTGATCTCCATGGCCTTCTGCTCTTCATTGTCTTCTTCCTCGGAGCTCTCATCGTCTTCGTCATCATCGTCCTCGTAATCACTGCCCTCGCCAAGGATCTCGGCTTTGAGCTTCTGGTAGGCTTGCTCGTGCTCTTCCCACTCCGGGTCATACTTGAAGATGTTCAGACCGTCCTGGACGTCAATCTCGCCGTCGAGGTCGACGCGGTGCGTGATCTGATCCTCCTCCTCCACCAAGTCGAGCTCGTCCTTGATGGGTGGGTTGTCCTTGAAGCTGTCCTTGCGCACCTGGAAGAGCACCTCAACCATGTACTGCACACGCTTGTCGATGTCTGCCTCGTGCAAGACGTTCCGCAGCTGGTCCCACACGGCCAACGCAATAGCTGGCTGCATTTCTTGGAGATGTTGCCCCACCTCGCGCATGAAGTTGACGGCAATCTCCACACTGTCGTCGGTCGGCTTGTGCAGCAGCAGCAGGAGCATCTGGCCGGCGAGCATCTCGTGGGCGACTTGCTGGTTGATGAGGTGCGCGAGGAAGGTCGTGCTGGACACGCAGACGGCCTTGTCGCTACGCTTGAAGCCCTTGCGGAAGGACATGATGAGGCGCTTGACGAGAAGCTCGCCGACGGCAGGCAGCTTGGTGTTGACAATGGCGGCCATGGCGGCGAACACGGGCGTGAAGGGCAGAGACGCCGCCTGCGCCTTCATCATGCTGCGGCAGAACAGGCCGCGGCCCTTGATGAGGTTCTCGCCAAAGAGCTCGGGGACAATGTGCTTGATGTTCGAGTAGTTGACCTTGTTGATCAGGCCGTTGATGGACTTCTTCAAGGCCTCCCACATGAGGCGCTGGTATTCCTTGCTCGACTTGTCGGTAATCTGGGCCTGCAGAGCGCGGAGTCGGGCAGGCGGGATGTATGTGCCGCCGGATCGCATCGTCAGGAGTTTTTCGTATTCGGCCTTGGCTATCGCCTGCTTCTCCTCCTCCGTCTTGACGGGAGGAGGCGTGCGCTCTCGGGGCGCGGGTCGGTACTTGTCGCCGCCATCACGGGGACGGCGTTCGTCGCGTTTGAAGGCGCGGTCGCGATCGCGATCGCGCCGAGGGGATCGTGGTGCTCGAGGAGGCGGGCTTTGGGCGCCTCCATCGCGAGGTGATTCAACCTCTGCCGAGGCCATGGTTTCGCGCGTTGACCCAAGGATCGACGTCGAGGCAGAGTCTGTTGAAAGTCTCACGAGGTTGCCAGGCGCTAGGTCATGACAGCCTTGGGGTCCAAGGCGTTGTGTCTTGCGTTGGGAAGCTGGAACTTTTTTCCCGAATGCGTTTAAGCGGATGTGGCTGGGGCGGCCCGAGCGTCTTGCGATCTGCAGCACATGGTGGCTTCAATTTAACGTCAACATGGGTGATTTCACAGTGTTATGTGTGCATATGAGCTCAGTTAGCAAAAGTGACTTCATGAAAAGCAAGAAAAGCCAGGCAGCAGAATACATGATGAATAAATCTACACAGCCCACAGCTGCAGCCTGGCGTTGACGCTGCAAGAGTGATGAGAGTGCCAAGATTGGCTGACTAATCAATATCCGGTAGCATGCCAGAGTGGTTAATGGGTGGGATTTGAATATGTCTTCTGTATCCTATGGGTTTGCCCGCGCAGGTTCGAATCCTGCTGCTATCGTATAATTTTTGGGTTTGTTCTCTCGGAATCAGGTATAGAATGAAGTGCGGTTCCATGGAGAAGGCAAGCTTCTGTCCCAGCACGAGCCAGGGTATATCGTCAGCGGAGTCGTGTTTGACGCAGCCATATGGCCCAAGAGGACATAACAGGCCATTGACAAGAACGCGTTGGCTCACCTCCCTGGAATGATTGTGAGAATTGTGTTTAAAAAAAAAGTAAATAATGCATAAGATAGATGGCTCATGGCCACCCAAAGACACATGGCACTCGCCCAGTCCGTCACCGCGAAATCAAGCCACAGATGCGCCGCGGCCTACCCACCCCATGCGCCACAACTCACCAACCCCTGGAAATCCCAGCCCAAACCTCCACGACACATCGCGCCGCCGCCCGCGACAAACCCTCCACCAGCACCGCAACCGCAAACCCGCAACAAACTGGGACCTCTCTCCACCGAGATTCCCCATCGAACTCGCCCAGCGGCCGTTCCCACGCTCCTTACGCGCACGACTTGCCTGAAGGTCGCCTCGACAATGGTCCGTTCCCCATCCACACACTCCAACCCTCACCCCTGACCTTCTTCCTCCCCCCATCACGCCCATTTCTTCCCGTCAGCTTGCCCGATAGCCAGCGTTCCGTCAGCAGCGACAGAAGAGACAGAAGAAGAGAGAGAAAGAGAACAACATGTCGCTCCAAAAGCCCCCTCAAAGCTCGACAACTCGTCGGCTCGCCATGCTGTGGCCGCCTCGTCATATCACTACTACACATCTGGACGCTCCTCATCGTACGTCATGTCTCTCCCCCCGGGGCGCAAAGTCTCTCCCCTACCCAAATCTCTCGCCCGTGGATCACGACGTGTCCCCGCGGGCCACACTCGGCATGGCTCATGCGCCCGAGAAGCAAAGAAACGGAAAAAGACTGACGTGTCCACAGCCCTTTGTCGACGACGACCACCCGCTCCAGAGCCTCTTCCCCGCCCGCGTCTGGGCCATTCGCATCCCCGTCATCCTCATCCTCCTCGCCTCCGCCGTCGTCGGCTCCTTCCTCGGCACCGTCATGATCCGAAGCAACAAGAAGAAGGCCGCCAAGGCCAAGGCTGCCGCGAAGAAGAAGGCCTAAGGGAGCTGCCGTCGAGCGTCGAGCGTCGAGCGTCGAGCGTCGAGCGTCGAGCGTCGAGCGTCGAGCGTCGAGCGCTACAAAGTTGCCAGGGCGAACGAAGAAAGGGGTGCGCTGCCGAGGGTCGCGCAGTGCACGCTGGAGGTCAGGCGCCTGCTAGAGGTTGCCGTCCCCGTTAATCAGGCGCGCGTTGTCCACGGTCACGCAACACGGATCCAGAACACCGGGGAGGACATCCGGAAAATGGGTATCTATACGGTTGTATTCGGCGGGTAGCTTGCTTGCCAGCCCACTTGCGCCCGAATTTGTCGCAATGCCACGTTACCATGAAAAACAAAAAACTAGTAGCAGTACTTTGCAAAAGCCATCAAGCCATCCCTCAGCCCACCAGTCGTTGCCAGAAGAGCGAGTGACCATGAGTAGACCACGCTAGTATATTGCAGTTGTCTCTCACCATGCCGATGAAACAAATACTCCACGCAGCCGTTTCCCTTGGAGCAAAGCGTAGCTAGCGACAGCACAATCAACCTGACTGACCCCTGACCACTTCGTAACCTTATTCAGACTCTCTGGTCCGCGAAATCGAGAACCTCGCAGTCGTCCTCAAAGAATCCATCCTCGTCCTCTGGGTGGCGTGCGCCGCGGCGTCTTCGCGTCGTCACCACAATCTCGTCTCGATTCTCCCCCACATGCATCACCCGCTCCATCGAAGTCAGGGGGAGAGCACGCGGGTCATCTGAGGTGTTGAAGTCCTCGTCAGACAGCTGTACGTGGCTCAAGTCTAGCCTGATGAGATCAAGCTTCTGACCAAACGCCCATGGCTGGGAAAAGTCTGCTGCAGAGGCAGCGGCCTGGACCTGCATCCGCTGCTGCTGCTTCTTCTTCTGTTGCTTCGAGGTTGCCTTGTCCTCAAGGTTGATGTCGCCGAGCATCGCTGTCAACGCCGAGGCTTCCGCATCGCCCGCAGCGGGACCATACTCGTACAGCGCGACACGCCTGTCGGTGTGGAAAGGCTGGTACGGCGCACTCGACTCTATCTCTGCCTGGGGGATGGATGCCTCGGGGCTGAAGTCAACCTGTACCGTTCTCGCACGTGGTTCGAGGGTCAGGGTGTTGCATGCGTCCATATCCTGATCGGACAGTTCTAGAGCCTCGTCGCCTTCGATGAATTGCTTCACTTTTGGCGCCATGTCGCCATCGGGAAGCGAAGGCAACTTCATATCCTTGTAGCGGTTGCCCTTGGGGGTGCGCTGCTTGTCCGCCACGCTCGATGCTCGCCGGGTCTTGGAGGGGAAGGTTCTCACCAGTCCGTCGCCCACGACGTAGAGCGAGTGATACTTTCTACCAGTCATCCACATGACGCACGATGCCGAGGGCAACAGGGTGCTGGGGGGCAAGGAAACCCTGTTTTCCCCCGTGTGCCGTAGCTGGTTGATTGCCGTGCCTGTCTTGCCCAAGGAATGGCTGATGGTGGCAGCGATTGCTCTGCCGCCTTGACTGGCAGAATCGACAAAGTTGGAGCCGTTGGTCCCGTTCTGACCCGCAGCAACCGCACTGCTCCTACGCGGGCGGTTGATCAGCGGCCGAGCAGCTACGAACGCGGCGCCAAAGGCATTGGAGGCAATCGAGACGGCAGTGCTGGACGTTTCAGACGCAGGAGCACCGTTCGGTTCTGCCTCCTTCCGACGCCGGGGCGGCGGCCAGGTATAGGCACTTTCGGGCATGTCGAGCAGATGCACCGTGCCGCGCTCCGTGACCATGGCGATTCGCTCGCCATTGGGTCGCGACCATGTCACGTCGACGATGCGTGCTACCGTCATGCGCGAAAAGTGCGCGATCTGGCGAACCCGTGGCCCGACAACGCTGGCCGTCGTCGAAACTTGGAGCGGAGACGACTTGGTGTACTGGATGCTAAAGAGATCCCATACGGTCTGCACGTCACCCTTGCTACTGGCCGTGAACAAGGACAACCCGGAAGGCGAGAAGGACAGGAAGCTGCAGCCGAGCGGCGTCGGGAACGCAGTGACGGGGTGCAGGGACGCAGAGAGCCCCATGGTTCCCATGTCGACGATGGAAACAAGAGCAGGGTCCTTGCTGGCTGGCGTCTGGCCCGGCGTCGCATGGGTCGGAGGAAACTGGACTGCATCCGGTCGTGGAGGGTATGAACCAGGCCACTGCTGGGCAGCCAGCGTTGGTGACCGAGGCTGCCGCTGCGGTACCGTGTTCTTGTTCCAGTAGGAGTTCCAAGCCTGCATGCCCTGCTGACCTACCCACTTGGCACCCGAGATGAGCTCCTGGGTGGTCTCGCGCATGATCTTGTTCATCACACCCTCTGACATGGCCGTGTCGATCGCGGCGGTCACAGCCGGAAGTCCTGGAGGCGTTACCGAAGACAGGGTCGGGCCTTTACCGAGCACCGGAACCGGGACATGAGCTCGAAGAGTGATCTGCGTGGAAGGTGGGGGAGGGCAGTAGGCGATCCATCTACCATTGACGGCGAAGATCGGGGTGTGCGGGTTTGGCTTGGGACGAGTGGAAGCCGGTGCGGGGGATGACCGCCTCTCAGACTCTTCAGCAACCTCGCCTCTTGTAGGTTGCTGGAGGCTGGTCCAAAGCTTTCCCGTGCAGCCAAAGTGAAGTTTGCCGTCACCGTACGATCCCTCAATGGTGCGGTATAGCCACATCTCGCCGGTCAGGCCGGAAGCCACAACGATGTTGCCGGCGTCTGCCTTGATCACAAGCGATCCGGTTGGCGCAGGCGCCTGGAAGACAGGGCTGGTGATGGCTGTGGGAAGAGGAATCTTGGGCGCAAGAAGTAGCACATCAACAAGTTTGTTCGTCTTCAGGGAATACAGTTCGACAGCGGTCTGGTAGTGA